TCTTTTTCCTCCTCCTCCACCTCCTTCACCTCTTTCCCTTTCCGCTTCTCCGTTTCTCTCGGTCCACGTCCTTCCTTAATTCAGTCCAATGAGAGCCGCTCTTCGATTCGTCGCACCCGTCACAGATCTCTCTCCGCGTCGATTTTTAGAGGATACCTAATTTTCCTTCTGTCCCTACGGTCCCCTCCGCGAGCAGCGGCTCGCGATTCCCTGGCTCTCGCTCGCCTCCCGTCGTCGTCTTCACCTTCCTCTTCTCCTCCGCTTCGGGATCGGGATTGGAATTTCGCGAACCGGTTCCACCGTGGACACCAGAAACGCCAGAAGAGAATTCGTGTTCGGAGAAAGTGTCTATCGAATAGTGATCTCGAGTTAGCTGGTGTACCATCCGGGACCGCAGGATATCGTAGTGTCGCAGGACGAATGAGGGAACCGAGATTTCCCATTGTGAACCAGAGAAACCTCGCTCGCACGAAAAGGATACACCTCACGGAGGAAATATGTCTCGCAATAATTGCAACGCGAACCGGTTGCGCGCTCTTAAAATAGTTACCCGCGCATAGGTTTACCGCTTTGCCCGCGCCGCTCATCCGCTGGAACACGACGCAGGATTAACAAGGTAAATATCGATCGATCTCCGCCTCCTCCTCCATCGATCAGAGAATCGGATGATGTATGCTTCCTCCGAGGTTTATCCGCGGTGACCTCGCTTTTGGGATCTAGTATCCGCCGTGGCGAACGTCTCGCGCCTTCGATTCTGTCGTGTCAACTACGCTTTCAATCCTTGCCCAATAGACCGAGATTCGCCAGCGCATCACAATGGATCGTGAAATGTAATCGGTCGTATAGAATCGTTGGTAACTCGAAATATCAAGTAGCCGTGTGAAGGTCTTCGTGAAGTTGGAGAATTTAGATACACATCTTATTTGTTATTTGTAAAACACGATGAACTGCCGGCAACGCGTTTAACGGGCACGGCGATCGGTAACTATTAAATGAGAAGTATTTTGTGTTTGCGGAACATGATTGTCAGCGGTCAAGCACCTTGGTGAGCCTCCGCAGTTGCAGTCTCCGGTACGCTAGCGAACATCGGACGCACTATTGCTCCGAGTCCGTCGATGTCCCGAGATTATTCTGGACCGATAAAAATCCATCCGTTCGTTTCTTGGGACTCGTTTACTTCAAGTTGTCCCCACATGATATCCGTTTCCAGAGAACCGTCTATCTCATCCACGTGCACGCTTTTACAGTCGACCATTTCACGATCGACCGAGATCCCCTTTTCTATTGCTTCCGAGAACGAGGAAAAGCCTGCATGTTCGAGTTATCTGCGCGAATGAGCCACTGTTTGCATGGTACAAGCATGATGATCGCCATATTCGTTTGTTTCGCTTTGGATTAATCTAAACGTCAGTTGTAAATCATTTGAAACCAGATAAGACGACTTAGTTTAACCATGGAAATGAAGTATTCTTAAGCTGTGTAACGGTATCATTTCCGGCGTATGAAATATTGATGGAATCGAGGGTCGCAAAGCCGAAGGAGCGCAATAACGGGAAAGCCACGAAATCGAAAGAAAGATGTCAACGCGTTTACCGCGACGCAATTGCCCGAACTCGATTTTCCTTTGAAGCGAAAGAAGAAAATGGGGAAGATGAGGCAGCCGTGGTGGGGTGGGAAAAGAGAGAGATTCGAAAGTATCGATATCGACGCGGACATAGGTAGACGCCACGGTGCCTTCTACGAAGTCGATTGCCGTTTGTTATTGAAGTTATTCCATCGCCTCGGGCCAGAACAAGGCGAGGCTGTAAGCAGCACGTTTGTCCCTGGATGACGAACGTTTACATTTCAATACAAGCTGGAATCTTTCTAAAACCGCCGGCTCTCTAGTCTCGCTGCGCGCGCGATGCGGCGCCTCCATCGTGATTCCTTCGGTGCATAGGATATCCGCACGGCATTTCAATCAGTTGCTTCGAGGAATAAAAATTGCAGCACGACTCCCCCACCTCGTGTCCGTGCGAGTTTTCGATTCGAAGCGAAACTCGCCGTCGATCGGGGCGCGACCGATTTCTTCCCGTCTGCGCCGAAGGGTTTCCAGCGCTGATGCACGCTCGGGACAAGACGTTTCTCGGCGTATGAAAATCAGTCGTATTCTTCGAGCTCGAGAGTTCAATCGTATTCAGTGAACTTCTCCGATTTCCGAGAATGCAAAGCATTCGCGCGTTAACCGTCGTACGATTGCGAGCCGCGCACGCAGTTCCGAGAGAGCCGGTTACTTCGCCTCGAACTTCATCGCAGTTCGATGAACGAACTATGAATAGAACTTTCTCGAATGATCCGTTGTCCACACGTCGCATCCATCTGTTGAGATTTCTCGAAAACTGCCGTGCCGGACACGGTTAACTCATTCAGTCCTCAGGATCGCTGGCGAGCCGAAAACCGAAGGGGATTTAATGAAGTGGCGCTTGCCAAGGGTGGCTTGGGGTTACACCAGCGACAAAGGGACAACGGGCCAACAATTACCTGGAGGAAGTCATCGTAAAACCGATCCATCGGTTGGGTATCCGTTTACGACTGCAGCTCTCGAACGTAAAAGTGGGGACAGTGGCGTGAAACACGGGGCTCGGGACTTTCGATCCTGTTAGTCAGTTGAAGTGCGGCCAAGAAGGATAAACGCCGACGAAAAGTTGCGCGAGGGCACACGGCCCGTTTGTACACGGAATTTTCCCTCCGCAATGAGAATCGCGTAACGAAATCGGGTGTTGACGAGTCGCAGCGTTTATTATCGCCGAGGTAATACGTTCGAATTGAACGCAATTTTTTCCCGGTTCGACACACGTAACGGGTCGTTGGAATGGAATTCCTTTCCAATAATAATTCACTGTAAATGTCGTAGGACGTGATTATGCGGGATATAAATAGTCACTTAATTGGCACGTTTGAGAGCTGTAATTATTACGCGTGCAATCGTACTGCATCGAATTATCCTTGTACGTGTATCCGCGATCGCCTTCTTCCCTCCCTGGAATATCGCGCTCTTCGTAGATCAGTGTTTTCGAATTCTGCCTGCGACGTTGCCGGCCAGCACTTTTCAACGGTGCTTGGAAGATAATCACGCCTTCCATTCGCTCGATTAGAATTTCCGCAGAATTTGCAAAAATTGAATGTTAAAGTATCGAAGATCAAAGCTTGCGTTGATCGATCAATATCTGGATGAGATCTAGCAAAATGAGAAGGCCGCACGAAGACGTGGTAGATTCAAAATTCGTTCTTTTGGTCACATCCCCCTCTTAACAACATCTTGACTCACGTTCATGAATATTCTTAATAACCTTAATCGAGCTTCATGGTCGTAATCAACGTACGCGATCCACGCTCTTCCGTAGACAAGTGACTTCTCGCTACTTCGCGATGTCGCGTCGTCGGCGGTAAGTCGCGCGAATCTGTCGCGTTTCTCGGTTGTTCTCAACATAGAATATTCTTATACTTTTCTGTGAAGGTGTTTTCAAAAGTTTTCCTATAACTATGACTTATTTCGTGAAATCGCCGTCGTCCACTTAACAGGTTAACCCCTTTCGGCGCTCGTTTCTGCAGGACATCATGACGAGTTGGAGCAGGACACTGGTCACGGGTATCATCGGAATTTTACTTCTGCTGGCAACGAGGAACTACACCGAGGCCTGCAACGAAGCGATCTGCGCTAGTGTCGTGAGCAAGTGCATGCTCACGCAGAGCTGCAAGTGCGACCTGGTCACCTGTGCTTGCTGCAAAGAATGCTTCTCCTGCCTCAGCTACCTTTACGATGAGTGTTGTTCGTGTGTAGGTAAGTATCGTCCTTTCCAGTAACCGTGGACCGGCTTACCGAAGGTTGCGCTTATCCGTACTTAATCTTAAATCTCGTGGTCCCCAGACCTCTGTCCGAAGCCGAACATCACGGACAACCCGTTGAGTAAAAAGTCTCACGTGGAAGACTTCAGCGAGCCAATGCCAGGGTTGTTCCAAGCGTTAACCGCTGAGCCGGATCCACACGAGCGCTGGCTCACATTCACGTTTCCGGTGGACTTCGACATGTCCCTGTACACGCCGAAATACGAGAAAGAAATGAAGTACCATATGCGTGTGTATTGCATTCTTTTGTCTAATCTCCATTACCCCTCGCAATGGATTTTGCAGAATTATTGATTTACATTGCGGTCGATGCTTTTTACAGAGACTGCCGAGGAAGAGGCTCACCCGCTGAAGCCTAACGTGATGACGGTGAACTGCACGGTCGCATTCATGGCTCAGTGCAACTCCTGGAACAAATGTCGAGCGTCCTGCCAAAGCATGGGTGCTACCAGTTACAGATGGTTTCACGACGGTTGCTGCGAGTGCATAGGGGACACGTGTATCAATTACGGAATCAACGAGTCCAGGTGTATACACTGTCCGCTGGACAAAGAGGACGACGACTTGAAGGAGCAGTATGATGATTACGGTCAGGACGACGACGATCTGGTCGAAGACGAGAACGATTAACGACTGGTTCATTCCTCTCTGACGGGGCGAAGTTCCTTCCGGTTCCTTGAAGGGAGTTCCATTGTGGTTGTGTCCGTGTGTGTTCCCGGTGACAATACTTTCACGAGATGAACATTTGCAAATCGTGACTATTCTTCGATATGTACGCGCGAAAGTTTGCAGCATATCATAATTGATGACTACTTCGCCCTTTGAGATAAACTATAAAAGAGACGAACAATTCTCCCTTGAAAAGGGACCCCTATGTTTGGTGATGTAATTTAAATGGTCACAGTTCAAGATGGCTTAAAGTCATCGGCTGTCGATGTCTGTATTTAATCGACCAGATGCGAACGAAACGATAGTCAGGCCGATGCCGGCGCTGCGAACTAAGTAAACGGTGTTTAAAGCCCAACGCTCGTCTTTAAATATGTGAGATATGTATGTAAGTAGTCCTACAATGTCGAATTTTTATTACTTGTCCGTGCCATATGAATAGAATTTGTACATTTATGAAATTGTTCTTGGCCACTGACGCGTACTATGCCTGCCGATCTTATCGTTTAAATAATAAATATGTTGTCCGTGTTTTAATCTTCGATCTTCTATCGCCTTATGCTGACCGTTTGAGAAATTCATTCGCGCGGAAAGAATAACAAAGAATACATCTGAAATATGAGAAGGACGAGTAGAGGCATGCGGTGTAAGGAATATGGACAATGCGTACCGTTATGATATGGTTTTAATACTGCACTTGATTATGCCAATGCACAACATTGAGACAATACGAAGGATCGAACAGGTATATTCTCGAAATAATGTCCAATTCATGCGGTTCAATGTAAATAAAACTATTAGTATATATAGATACTTAAAACTGCAGATATTGTTAAAGCTTTATGAATAGTGGATCCCAAAATATCGAAAGACCACTACAAAAATAACGAGCAATTTTCCCCTGGAAATTATTAACAGACTAGAGAGGGGATACCGAATCGATATCAAATAATCATTCGTGGCTAGACTAATGTAAATAATTTTTTAAAAATCGTTACAATAAAGTTTTATAAATACATCCACTTTGTGGTACGTACCATCCCTCGAATGATTATATACCGATCTATTGCGCGATACACAAACACAGTAGTGTTCAAATCTACTTTGTTATATTGATCATCAAATACCGCGTTTTACGCGTTCCTTCAACGATCGTATACAATAATCCATATACGCACTATCAGCGCGTGTTACCGTGTCACGCTTACAAATAAAATGATATCGAACGATTTTAATCGTTCACGTTGGTACATGGCAATAATGTTCGGAAGAAAACATGAACCGATTGCTTGGAAGTACCGAATATTTATACAGGCGGATGTTCATCCTGTGTCTCATTACTTTCTGGTAATTTAATAAAAGGCAAGTCGCTGCCGCTCCACATCGAGTATAACTGAGACCTCGCGCATTCCTGAAACCAGTAAACCATCAAGATATACCAAAAATCATTCGTAAATCCACACTAATATATATGAAACAAGTATCCGATAACAAAGAAATTGCAATTATTTAAAACTATAACCATGCATTACCCCACCACCAGCACTCTCAGAACCTGAACGACTATGGGCTGATATGCAAGAATCTGTTGAAGAGCTGCTTTTACGAGATGGTAACATATCTACGGTACCTAATGGAAAAATTAAAAGTCATACACGATCCTCTTGAGCTGTCATTAGTGGTCCGTAATGTATACACTTACCGAGTTCCCCCTCTCTATGATCACTATGCGAGTGAATGCTATCTTTACTGTCCGCGTGGCTACCGCTGGCTACACTGTGTTCTGTAACACACACTACAATTAATAGGTAAAGCGATAAAAAAGAAAATGTTAATGCATATGAAACCGTACCTGAATCCCTGTGTTCACCGCTGTGTGCACTTTGATCACTTTCGCGACGTCCCGATTGATCAGAGTGCTCGCTCGAATGGGAATCGTGTGGCCAACACCTCAATGAACCAACTTTACGTGAGCCTGGCCAAATCATCGTGTCGTAGTTTGACTCGAAATTACACGTTGTTAAAGTAACACCCGGGATATGATGATTGGTATACGCTGATAGCTGATTCAAAGGCCTAACTCCTATTTAGATATTAAATGTGTAAATAACATTTATTCACAAAATAAGTACTGACAAAAAGTAACAAATATTTTTTTATATTGTATGTACCTGGTTTGCAAGATAACAATTGAATAGCCTCCTGTAGGCCATCCTGACTAGCCATGGTTGATGTTTTCCATATTGTGTCTGGTGTAGTGGACCTACTTCTGTCTTGATGAGGAACCCTTAATCTTGACCTGGCATCCTGCCTTGGCCAGTCTGTAATGTTCCGACAGTCCCATGGCATAGACCACCTTCTCATTGTATTTTCTGATGCTTCACCAGACATTTCAGCGGCAGCTGTTTCAGACCATCTCCTCTGAACCTTTATAAATGTTAAGTCAGTATAGAAAATAAACAACAGAAATTATTCATTCACATTATTGAAATTACCTGCAGAGGAAATAAAGGATATGGTAAGGGTGACCTATGACAGTTCTGCACCGACTGTTGCGTCGATGATGAAGACACTAGTGGTGGTGAACTATATAATCTTTCAAAACACTGTTGAAGAGATGCAATATCACATTCAGCAGTGCCACTTTGTGAGCAAGAGCATTCTGCCATTCCACCTACAAAAATTTCTCTTGTAACAATTACATCTTGATTTAAATTCATAAGTAAGGATGAATATTCATTCTCACCTAGACATTCACAACAAGCAACACAGAATTGATATTGTAGATTTATGAAAGTCAATAGATTATCTCTAAGTATGTCCTAAAAATATTAACATTTAATAGAAAAAAATGTAAAAATTCTATACTTTAAGCCAGATCCAAATAATCACATACATGTTTGTCTCCTTCATTATCACGAGTTTCATGATCTCTTAAAGCAGAAATAATGTGATTCTTTACAGTATTGCTTGCTACATATGTTGCTTTTGTAAGCTCTTCCCATCCAGCAAGGCATTGCCCACTTAATCGACATTGTGCCACTGTGTCATGAGCTGACAAGAGCGTTTGTAAAGACTGGGCCAACTTTGCACCAGCTGTGCATAGGCCATTGAGTGTCTGCATCAAATAAAATAATTTGTTTTTATACCTATTAACTTAATATTTAAGACACTACATACCTGTAAATACACTAGCCAATTACCGAGACACTCGTTTACCTCTAATTGAAGTTTAGATACTTGATTGTCATTGGACTTTGGTTCTGTTCCACCTTCTGCCATACTTACATTATTTTAATCCTTGGATTTTGCACTGAATTTAGTCACCTAATTATGTAAGAAAATATGTACGTATACTTTTGTCTTTGCCATTAAAAATCTATTGAAATTTTATGCACAGTAGAACGTGTAAAAAGTGGAAAAAGGGAAATTTATTATCTTCAATCACCAGGAAATAAGGTAAAGCAGTAATAAGTACAATGTTAAGGCGTTCGTATAATCTTTTATTACGATAAACGAACCTCTGAGTATTCGAAAAAGCGACTTTTTTAACAGAAAGTATCGCGAGTCAATCACTTACATGTTTTCTTGTTATTCGGTGTGTCTTCGGTAAAAAATTAGGGTAAAAAATAAGAATCACAGATTTCGCGTTGGCGACAAAGCACTGCTACCGGCACCATCGTAACCCGGCTCGTGCATACCTATCCGCTCAATCCAACGATGCAAAAAGCGAAATGAGTCCGGTATACGCGGCAACGCTCATCTGCGGTTTTACCTTTAACACAAACCTAAGATATGTGCAGATTGTGTATACAATGTATTTTTCTGTCTACTGTTCTGAAATACCGACACCGTCAAAAATGCTCCGATGTCACAGGCTTAAGGTATGTACAGACTGTGCATATAATGTATTTTTCTGTCTACTGTTCTGAAATACCGACACCGTCAAAAATGCCCTGATGCACTAGCGAACTCTACCTAAATCGTACGATCACTATTGAACTATATAAGACTGCAACATGAAAATTATAGCCCTGGGAGGCCAATTTTTACAGTGTTACCAACCGTACAAATTACATTGTTGTCGAATCTGGAGAGTTAGATATAAGAGCGATCCGCTTTCTTACCAGTATGTTAAAACTCAAATATTATACTTTGTTTTATGAAAGAAGAGTCTTTGGAGGTAGGCCGTTAATTCGTGTCATACTCGAATCAAGAACTTCTTCTTTGATTCGCTCCCTTTACCACTGCGATGAATGTGTGCCACGTAATAGGAGGTCATGGTGCAACCAAATAACAAAAACAACGCTGCTACGAGTTTGCGCCCCGCACAGTGTGTTCGGAAACGTGGAATTCGTACGACCCGCCCGCGTTTCGACGACATCTGTATTCATCGGTCCAAGCGTCTTGTAAGCTGCGGATGGAGTGGGTTATCGACAAAGGGTTATTTAAAAAATATAAACCTTATTTACCGACGGCTGAGGAGGACCTTGTTTACCGACGGCTGAGGAGGACCTTGTTTATCGAGGAACGATTATTGGTTTGTTTGCTTCTGACATAGTGTTAAGGTACAGCTTGCGCATTAAATACATTTTTTACTCTACTGTTCTGAAACACCGACACCTTTACCTAAATTGAATGATCAACTGTTAAATCATATAAGACTGCAACATGAAAAGTGTATGCTTGGACAAACGATTCGCCTTGTCAATTAGCATGCTTCTTGAAGTCATCACAATTCAAATACTAGATTGTAACCAAAATCAAAATATGAGTCATTAATGATTAAAAAAAAAGAAAAATTTCCACAAACTGCAGCGTCTGTGAATATATGACATGGCAACATACAATGTATGACTTTCGAAATCATCTGAGTTTAAGTAAAAGTCCGAACCCTGCACTTCAATATACAAGTAGCCTAGGTAAAAGGTAATTGTGAGGACACGATATTTGATTCATTTGTAGTAGGTGAAAATCGTCACTTTCAGAAGAATAAAACTGATTCGCAGCTATTCGCACGGCATAATCCTTGGTACAGAATATTAATGTTGAAAAAAACAATATCCTATTCCAAGGAAAATTCCGACCCAGGTCTCACCACGAGGAGGTTGCTGCGAAGAGACCCGCCCACCCTCATGTTCTGCAATCGGCCCACCCTAACGGAAATCAAATAAAAATTTCCACTAACTCCCAGATTAATAAACTTACAAAATTAAGCATCTCCGTCTGGAACGCATTTGCGAATCAAATGCATTACAGAAGGAACTGCTTTGCACGAACCTACCCGGCCGAATATTAACCTACCTATAATAGTACCTAATATAATGCTATGTAATAGTATCCTAAATATTAATACCTATAATAACAGAAATATAACTATTCTATTTTAAATTTGAATATTAATTCCCAAATGTTCATGAACCTTTGCGCTTCTAAATCCCAATAAATTCCCTACCTAACCATGGCATTTTAATACGTGTTTACATATGTATTGTATTGTGTTGATGTTGTCCCACGAAGATACCTAGCTGGAAAGGGAACAGAATTCGTTTTACACAAAATAGTATAACTTAGTATAAGTAATATAATAATATAATTAGACAAAAATTATATAATATGTTCAACTCTGAAAGAAAGAAACAATGCATTGTACAAGAAGCAGAACAACATAAAATATACAATATTATATTAATTCCTAAATTTTGTTCATGAACCTTTGAGCTTCTAAAGCTCAATAAATCTCCTACCTAACCATGCATGGCATTCTAATGTGTGTATGTATACATGTATATATACATGTATAGGCTGAATATTCATGTTTACTGTTGATATCCCACGATGATACCTAGCTGAAAAGGGAACTCAATTGGTTATACACCTGAAAATAATACACAAACAATATAGGTACCTGAAAATAATACACAAACAATATAGACACCTGAAAATAATACACAAACAATATAAATACCGGAAAATAATACACAAACAATATAGACACCTGAAAATAATACACAAACAATATAGACACCTGAGAAAAAATACACAAACAATATAGACACCTGAAAATAATACACAATTAAACAATATACCTCTCTTCTTTTTGATTTATACCATAATTGATTCCCTCCTACGATTTTATTGTAATTATCTCCTCCTTAAGTTGTACTTCAATTTCTTTCTTGTATTTCCATCAGAATTCTTCCCTAATTAGAACGCCTATCCTGAAACAAAAACACAAAGAATTAAATAGTATTATATATATGTTAATGTGAATCAAATTCCATTTTTAGATTGAATTCAAAATATGTTTCTAGCTTCTTACCATTGACACATTCTCCATCATGTTATTACATTTATTTACACTTTCATCTTAGCACTGGCTCAGTTTCCTTGATACATTTTCCCTGACACAAGAAATGAATACCTAAACAAACAGAAAACTTTCTATTCGATTAATAGCTGAAAAGAAACTAATTAGTATCACACAAATATACAAGATATGGACAATCAAATTTAAACAATCAATGTATTCAATTTCAATGCAAAAATCAAAAAGAATAGATTCTTGAAATTAAAAACTCAACAACTCGTTATGAATCTAGATATTGAGAAATCATTTAACTTTTCATTCTTAACTACTTCTTACATTTACGTTCAATTATTAATACTAATAATTTATTATACATTATATATTTTATTTTAAAATCAAATAATGAACGTCAAAGGAATTTCAGATATTCAAATTGAAGTATTCACATTTTACTGTATTGAGAACTAAATGTTTTCAAAACAAGCTTCTAAATATCATGAAAATGGTAGAATAAAAAATCGTGAATCAACATTGATTTCAAAAATTTGATTATTACAATCGAAAAGAATTAAGAGACATTTTGAAAAAGTAAATGTCACCTAATTTTTCTTACAATTTAATTTACTTTCGAGCAATACTTGAGTGGCAAATACTGATACTGTGTGGAACCGGTAGGGAGCAATAACAAAAAGGCGATTACAGAATATGGAAAAAAAACACGAACGGTGCATCATTGATCGCAACACTAATTTGTTAATATATCAAATACTTAATATGTGAAATATTATTAATGCATTATATAATAATTAATACATCAAAACAAGAAAATACCGGGCACCTGTATTTCTTATACGCAACACTAGGGAGAAGGATTTGGAGGATTATGGATAGAAGGTACCCTAACATCATCAGCTAATTTGGCTATGATGAATCTCCATATTTAGCCATTGGCTGTTATGGTTTAGATACAATTTCAGCACAAAATTGGGCATTGACATTTCGCAACACTACCGAAAACATGACGCTTCAAAGTTACAACAATAATGAAAAATATACAATTTGCAATCAATCGTGCTTAATACACAGTGCAACACTATTCAACAATAAACATAATCGCACGGTTAACAAAACGAACAGTGGAAAGATATGTACCAACAATCAACAGACTCGTATAAAAAATATATATCAGAAATCCACAAATTGGTATTTCAAAACTGGAGTCTCACACTGAAACTTTGAACTCAAAAAGTAATCGAAACTTGGAAGTACAGAAAATTTATTTCAGTAACTAAACCTCCCATGATTATTAGATATATTATACATTAGAGTAACCTCATGATGAACTGTATACAGAGTAATTCTTAAAAAATCAATTCCAAAACAATCATACTTTATCAGACTCTACTACAGACTGGACTGTTCCATTCAAAAGTACAACTTTCATTTAAGAAAAAATTGTGGTCATTGTTAATAACATTTACTTCAACTTTCATGGCACAACTGCAAAAAAAATTTCACAAACAACTTGCATGAACGTCAAGCGTCCGCAATATCCAACAGCAAAATGCGTTTCGCAGTACTCAATCCACATTCAATTCATCGAGCAATTAATCCACAACGTGGCAACACCATTGTCTTTTTTTTTTAGGGCGACAAGGTACCACCACGTGTTTCATCTTCCACTGTAAGTGGTACTGACTCTACTTTAATATCGTCGCGAGGGAACCAGTACCTTCGAAAAACACTATGCATGCCGTGAAACGCATTAGCAGGTTCCCGTGCATT